TTTAGCCCAGGAGTTTGAAACCAGCTGGACAAGATGGCAAGACCCTTTCTCTATGAAAATTTTAAAACATTGCTGGGTGAGGTGGCAAGCCCCTGTAGTCCCAGTCACTCAGGAGGCTGAGGCAGGAGAATCTTTTGAGCTCAAGAGTTTACGGTGACAGTGAGTTATAATTGCAGTACTGCACTTAAGCCTGGGTGACAAAATGAAACTCCATCTCCGAAGACAGGAAGGGAGGGAGGGAGGGAGGAAGGGAGGAAGGAAGGAAGGAAGGAAGGAAGGAAGGAAGGAAGGAAGGAAGGAAGGAAGGAAGGAAGGAAGGAAGGAAAAAGAAAGGAAAACAAAGGAAAAACAGCCAGGTGCAGTGGCTCACGCCTGTAATGCCAGCATTTTGGGAGGCTGAGGTGGGTGGATCACAAGGTCAAGAGATGGAGACCATCCTGGCCATCAGGAATGTTGGGCTAAAGTGATCTTCCCACCATGGCTTTGCAATGTGTTGAGGTTATAAGCGTGAGCCATCATGCCCAGCCTCTATTTAGTGAAACACTGTTTCTACTAAAACTAGAAATACAAAAATTAGCTGGGCTTGGTGGTGTGTGCCTGTAGTCTCTGCTACTCGGGAGGCTGGGGCAGGAGAATTGCTTAAACCTGAGAGGCAAAAGTTGCAGTGAGCCAAGATCGTGCTACTGCACTCCAGCTTGGCGACAGAGTGAGACTCCGTCTCAAAAACAAAAAACAGAAATAGAGTCAGGTCAGGATTTTACTGATTGCATCACCATGGTGTATTTTATGTATTCCTCTGTATTCTGTGTTTTCTCTAAATTGACAGAATACAAAGTAATACTTTTCAGACACTAACATGCATAAGAATCACCTGCAGAACTTTAAAACCCAGATTCCGGAGTCCCACTCAAAAGATTCTCAGTACACCTGGTCTGAGCCTAAGACTTTACACTTCTAACAAATTTCCAAGTTATGCTGATGGTGCTGGCCTGACTATTACACTTTCTGTAGCAGTGATTTGAAGACTTGACCTAACCTGACTTTTTTTTAGGTGGTGGTGTGTTCTTATATCAGGAGACATAAAATGTCTGATTCTCTTCATTTTGCTACACTGATAGCTTCAGGTGTTCATTACCCACATCGATTAATTCTTGAAGGATTACAATAGTGATATTCTAATACTATTATTCATTTTTAATGAACTCAAATACTTCCATAAAAGAAATATTCCCTCTTTTGTGCGGTTACTCTGTGATATAATTTGCACATAAAAGGTAAGATAAATGCTAGATTCTTATTTCCAGTTTTCAAAGTAATGAGTTCACTGATACCCTTCAGCAGTACCCCTGTGTTGTTTTTGTCATCTTGTTTGGGTTTTCCCAAAAGCAGACCCTGAAAGCAAGGCAGGCCAGTAGGCAAGTGGAGAGGTAGTTCAAAGATAGGATGGTAGCCAATAAAGGGTGTACTACTAAGCCAGTTACCACAGTGAACTATCGAAGAGAAATTCCACTGGGATTCAGTGGCACATGCCCGTAATCCCAGCACTTTGGAAGGCCGAGGTGGGTGGATCACTTGAGGCAGAGTTTCACTCTTGCTGCCCAGGCTGGAGGGCAATGGTGCGATCTTGGTTCACTGCAACCTCCATCTCCCAGATTCAAGTGATTCTCCTGCCTTGGTGTCCTGAGTAGCTAGGATCACACAGGCATACGCCACCATGCCCAGCTAATTTTGTATTTTTGGTAAAGACAGGGTTTCTCCATATTGGTCAGGCTTGTCTCAAACTCCCGACCTCAGGTGATCTGCCTGCCTCAGCCTCCCAAAGTCCTGGGATTACAGGCGTGAGCCACTGTGCCCGGCCAGGTGAATGTCTTATACTTTGCATCCAACTTTGATTCAACATATTTATTGACTATCTTTTCTGCAAAGTGCACATTGTACAAAGAACAGAAATTTCTTTACATATCTTTGACCTTTAGAGGTTCATAATTTGCTGAGCAAAGAAAGGGCAATGAGAGAACTAAGGGGACAGATTAGTCTAGAAGACTAATTTTGTCTAGGAGAATGCCTTGAAGTGGAGGTTATATCTTCTATATATGTCACACCCCCTTCTTACCACAAATGACATGCTCAGAGCCCCAGGCTGAGCAAAGCAACTCTAACTTTTTCTTAAGTTAAGTGGCTGGCCGGGTGCAGTGGCTCACGCCTGTAATCCCAGGATTTTGGGAGGCTGAGAAAGGCAGATCACCTGAGGTCAGAAGTTTGAGACCAACCTGGCCAACATGGTGAAACCTCGTATCTACTAAAAACACAAAAAATTACCCAGGTGTGGTGGCATGTGCCTGTAATCCCAGCTACTTGGGAGGCTGAGGCTGGAGAATCACTTGAGCCAGGGAAGCAGAGGTTGCAGTGAGCCGAGATCACACCACTATACTCCAGCCTCAGTAACTACATCTAAAAAAACAAAACAAAACAAAAACAAAAACAAAAATATCCACTAAATACTATATAAGAAACTAGTAACAGTGACTACCCCTGGGAGAGGAATTACAGGAAGGAGAGGGCAAGAGGTTTCACAGTCTGCCAGCTCTATCTAATAAGTGGTTTTCAGTGATAGAAGTGTTCTGTAGCTTCATGTGGCTATTGCCTGCTTGAAATGTGGTTACTGAAACCACTGAAGTCTTAACTTTACTAATTTTAATTAATTTAGTCGCATATGGCTAGTGGCTACCATATTGGACAGTGCAATTATACTGTTGGAGTTTTTTATACTTTATGCAAACATTACTTTTAAAAGTCAAGAGTCTGGCTGGGCGCAGTGGCTTACGAGGTCAAGAGATCGAGACCATCCTGGTCAACAAGGTGAAACCCCGTCTCTAAAAAAATACAAATATTAGCTGGGCATGGTGGTGTGCGACTGTACTTCCAGCTACTCGGGAGGCTGAGGCAGGAGAATTGCTTGAACCCAGAAGGTGGAGGTTGTGGTGAGCCAAGATTGTGCCATTGCACTCCAGTCTGGGTAACAACAGCAAAACTCCATCTCAAAAAAAAAAAAAAAAAATTAAAAGTCAAGAGACTGTTGTATTCCTAACAATATTTATGAGTAGTGGCTTCAAGAAGTGTATTGTCTCTGGGTTATAGCCAATAGAAAGTAAATGACAATCATTAACACTTGGATCTTGCTTGCTGTGTGCCAGGTATTGCTCTAGGTGCTTTTCAGACATTAATTCCATTTGTCCTCCCAGCAACCTTATGAGGTAGGCACTATTATTAATCCCAGTTTTATGGAGGAAGTATGCACGGACTGATTAAGGCAGTAGCTAAGGTCACCTAGCCAAGAACTGATAAGCTAGGATGTTGTGCAGGCATTCCACTCAGCCAGTTGACTCTGTGCACTTAACCACAACACTGTCTCTTACACAGGCAATTGACCAAATCACAAAAATACCTACCAGGGTGGAACACAAATGATTTTGGGGAAAATCCAACTACAAAGATAAACTATCCTTAATCACTGTTTCAAATAAAAAGATTTGTGTGTAGATTTAAAATAAATGTAGTTAATAAATGAAAAAAGTGTGGATTTCTTTATGGGCAATCATTTGCCTAACACTACTCCTTTTGGTTTTCCAATGTCCCATATCTCTTATCTCCTATCTGCTACCGTTCTCACTGCCCTAGTTGAAGACAGGTCAGTCTATTCTCCTTACTTTCCATCCCAAAGTCTTTCTTAATACTTCAGATGTCAGCCACCTGGGCGTCTCTAAGTCCTTTAAATTTCTTTCTTTCTTTTCTTTTTTTGAGACGGAGTTTGGCTCTTATTGCCTATTGCCTAGGCTGCAGTGCAATTGTGGGATCTCAGCTCACCGCAACCTCCGCCTCCCAGGTTCAAGCGATTCTCTTGCCTCAGACTCCAGAGTAGCTGGGATTACAGCCATGTGCCGCCACGCTCGGCTAATTTTCTATTTCTAGTAGAGACGGGGTTTCTTCACGTTGGTCAGGCTGGTCTGGAACTCCCGACCTCAGGTGATCTGCCTACCTCAGCCTCCCAAAGTGCTGGGACTACAGGCATGAGTTACCGCACCCGGCCTACTATATATTTTTATTACAGAAAGGTTACCATATTATTTGCCCTGCACTGTATCTAATTTTTGTTTTATTTAAAATATATTAACTATTGTCTTCTAACAGCTCAAAGATTTAGAGCAGGCCGGGCGCGGTGGCTCAAGCCTATAATCCCAGCACTTTGGGAGGCTGAGACGGGTGGATCACGAGGTCAGGAATTTGAGACCAGTCTGGCCAACATGGTGAAACCCTGTCTCTACTAAAAATACAAAAAATTAGCTGGACACGGTGGCGCGTGCCTGTAATCCCAGCTACTCGGGAGGCTGAGGCAGGAGAATTGCCTGAACCCAGGAGGCGGAGGTTGTGGTGAGCCGAGATCGCGCCATTGCACTCCAGCCTGGGTAACAAGAGCGAAACTCCGTCTCAAAAAAAAAAAAAAAAAAGATGTAGAGCATGTGATATTAGGCTTTCAGAGCAGCTCTTAAGACATTAAAGCGCCGGGCGCGGTGGCTCACGCCTGTAATACCAGCACTTTGGGAGGCCTAGAGGGGCGGATCACGAGGTCAGGAGTTTGAGGCCAGTCTCGCCAACATAGTGAAACCCCGTCTCAAAAAAAACCAAAAACCAAAACAAACAGACAACTTTAAAGCACAATTTGAATATAAGAAATATGCATAGGTTTCAAGAACAGACCGTATTTGGTTAAATAAAAAGCGTATGGTTACCTTTGGGAGCAGGTGGAAGGAATGAATTACTTCAATTTCCTTCCTTGTGTGGCACCTGCGGAAACCACACTGCGGCTGGGTCAATTGAAGTCAGCAATTGGTTATCACCCTGTAGCTTGGTCAGGAATGCTTCAGCCCCGCAGTGCCGCTCAGGGATCGCCTGTACCGTGGAAACACCCTGCATAAAAGCAGTTGGGGCACTGTTAAGGCGCCTGATATCTGGGCTGGGAGGTCCGCCCACTGGCGACTGCAGGTCGCTGGGCCATCCCCGGTCCTCAGGGAAGGGAACCCCACCGCCTTTCCGAGGTGCTCGGCGCCCCCTGCTGCCAGCCGAGGAGCTCAGAGCCCGCTCGCAGGAGGCCGGGAACATGGCGGGGCAGTCCAGGAACATGGCGGGGCAGCCTGCGGCCTCGGGCTCGCCATCTCCGGACCGGGACGGAACGGAGCCCAACGTTGTGGCTCGGATCTCACAGTGGGCGGACGACCACCTGCGCCTAGTCCGGGTACGGTAGCCACGAGGTCTGGGTGGGTGGTGGGCGCAGGGCGACACAGAGCGACCCTGAGAAGTACGTGAGGCCTCCGTCGGGGATCCCGCTGGGGCCGAGGAGCTGCAGAGAACTGCGGGGGAGTGAGCTCGAGAGGGCGACATCGCGAGTGTAGTGTGTGTGGGGCTGCAGAGGGAGGGCCGGGGGCGGGCCAGGGGGCCAGTTCAGCCTCATGATTGCGAGGACTGTGCTGGATCCTTGCTGGGCTGTGGGGGGCACCTCAAAGGGTGAGACGCAGCCCAGCTCGGGGATGCCACCTGGTCCTGTAGAGCACTTGGGGAGGGCTCAGAGAGGAGACAGAGGAAGAGTAGGGAAGTCCTGTACGCCTTGGGAGAGAACATTTCTAATTTGTATTTATTTTTAATTTTATTTTTTAGGGACGGGGTATTCCTTTCTGGCCCAAGCTGTAGTGCAGTGGCACGATCATAGCTCATTGCTGCCTCCACCTCCTGGGCTGAAGAGATCCTCCTACTAAGTAGGAGGATCTCCAGCCTCCCAAGTAGCTGGAACCACAGGTGTGCACTACCACACCGACTAATTTAAAGTTAGAGACCGGGGTCTTCCTATGTTGTCCAGGCTGGTCTCCAACTCCTGGCCTCAGCCTCATGTATAGAGTTCTTTTATTTTTGAGACAGGGTCTCACTCTGTCATGTTTGGAGTGCAGTGTGGGCACCATCATGTCTCATTGCAGCCTGCACTTTTGGGCTTAAGCAATCGTTCCACCTCATCCTGCTGAGTAGCTGGGACTACAAGGCACTTGTCACCACACCAGGCTAATTTGTTTTTTATTTGTGAGGCAGGGTCTCCCTGTGTTGTGCAGGCTGGCCTTGAACTCCTGGCCTCAAGGGATCTGCCCACCTCAACCTCCCAAAGCACTGGGATTATAGGCATAGACCATGATGCCCTGCCTTCTTTTTTCTTTTTCTTTCCTTTTTTTTTCTTTTTTTCGTGAAGCACTAAGCCTCTGGAGTTGAAGCAAGAGAGGGACACGTTAGGCCACCAGACAAGAGAGGTTGTGGCTAAGACACAGAATTGTGGTGATGTGAATTGTTTGGATGTGAGGTACAAAGAAAGTAGTCCAAGGAGACTGGTGATAGTTGCTGATAAGGAGTTGGAGTAAATGGTTTGTTGGGGAAAATCTAGAGAACTTTTTGGACATGAGCATGGAGATGTGTGACCCTAAAGTGGTTATTAAGACTTGTAAGCAAAACTGTAGATGCTGTTTTTGGCAACTGGACATGGAATCCGGTGTTGAAGGGAGATCAAAACCTGACACAGAACACTGGGAATGACCTGCATAAACCTTAAGTAGCATTTAAAGCTGTGGGCTTGAATAACAACTCAGAGCAAGTGAGAAAAGCAACTGAAGGAGCTCTAGAATTTGGGGGATTATAACATGGAGAATCTGGGGAGTGAAGAGGAGGTCAGCAAGACTAACAAGAAGCAGACAGTGAGGTAGTAAGAAAGTCAGGACAGCCAGGTGTTCTAGAAGCCAAGTGAAGAAAATGTTTTCAGAACGAATCATTAACTGTAAAAAAAAAACTCTGCTGAAGGCCAGGTGTGGTGGCTCATGCCTGTACTTTGGGATGCTGAGGAAACCGATCACAAGGTCAGGAGATCGAAACCATACTGGCCAACATGGTGAAATCCTGTCTCTACTAAAAATACGAAAATTAGCTGGGTATGGTTACACCCAAACAATTCACATCACCACAATTCTGTGTCTTAGCCTCTCTTGTCTGGTGGCCTAACGTGTCCCTCTCTTGCTTCAACTCTAGATGCTTAATGCTTCACAAAAATCCCAGCTATTCAGGAGGCTGAGGCAGGAGAATTGCTTGAACCAGGGAGTCGGAGGTTGTAGTGAGCCAAGATTGCACCATTGCACTCCAGCCAGAGTGAGACTCCGTCTCAAAAAAAAAAAAAAAAATTGCTGAAGGCCAGGCATGTTCGCTTATGCCTGTAGTCCCAGCACATTGGGAGGCTGAGGCAGGTGGGTCACAAGGTCAGGAGTTCAAGAGCAGCCTGACCAACATGGTAAAACCCTGTCTCTACCAAAAATACAAAAATTAACCAGGCATGGTGGCACACCCCTGTAATCCCAGCTACTCAGGAGGCTGGGGCAGGAGAATTGCCTGAACCCGGGAGGGTACCCCAGCCTGGGCGACAGATCGAAACTCTGTCTTAAAAAAAAAAAAAAAAAAGTTCTGCTGAAAAGTTGAGTAAGACAAGCTTTGCAAATGCTCTGGAGCCAAGCAGCACAAGGTCTAAGGCCATGCAGTTTTAACTCACCAGGGTAGCCCCAGTTCTTAGAGTAATGCCTGCCATTAGTAACTGCTATATAAATATTCGTAGCATCATTGAATAGTAAATAATATATGTGTTAATCAATGAAAACTCATTTCTTTCAGTTAAGCAGTAATAGATGCATGGGTTATTTCAAATTATAAAGTGACTTCATAAGGATTATGGAAGTTGTGTAAATTAGAACATGGTTATATTACAAATAATCCAATAAGCAGAACCCAGAGTATGTACCTTTGTGCATATTTTCAATCTCATTTCTTTTTTCTTTTGAGACAGAGTCTCCCTCTGTTGCCCAGGCTGGAGTGCAGTGACACAATCTCAGCTCATTGCAACCTCCACCTCCTGGGTTCAAGCAAATCTCGTGCCTCAGCCTCCTGAGTGGCTGGAATTACCGGTGTGTACTACCGCACCTGGCTAGCTTTTCTGTATTTTTAGTAGAGACAGGGTTTCACCATGTTGGCCAGGCTGGTCTCAAACTCCTGGCCTCAAGTGACTCCCCTGCCTTGGCCTCTCCAGGTGCTGGGATTACAGGCTACAGGCATGAGATATTGTGCCCGGCCTCAATCTCATTTTATGTACCTAGTTGTATCGAAGTTGAATGGAAGCAAAATGTGTTCGATTATGACTTTTTTTGAGAGTTGCAGGATTCTTAATTTGTCATTAAACTCCTTTAGGCCTACCCCAGTTTAAATGTAACACTTAAAAAACATCACTGAGTATTTCTTAGCCATTTACCCACATTTGCCAAGGTTCTGTATTTTAAGGTTTTAGTGATAAAATTTTCTACCAAATACTTAAATTCCCACCGTGGACACAAGGTTATACTAATTGCTATGGCTACTGTACAAGAAGTTCTAGACCAGTTCATACATTTATGGAACTGATAGTTAAATAATACAATCAGTGGAGAACAGTCTAATACTATATACATACATGTATGTGTGTATGGGGGGGTGGGTGTGTATATGTATGTGTATATGTTTACATATATACACACACAAACACACACATTTCTCTGTGTGCCAGATTGTTTGGGAAAGAATTTGAGTATTGTAAAAGTTAAAAGAAGGAAAGATTAATGAATGAACAGGCAGTTTTTTGAAGAAGTGGGCCTTTATTTGAAGGATGTACATTGTTTGTACAATTAGATATAGAGAGGACAGTCTTATTTTTTTCCACCTTCTAATTAGTACTTTCACTATTGTGACTAATAATTAATGAGAGTTAACCCTTAAATCTCTTTCTGTAGAACATCAGCACTGGAATGGCCATAGCTGGAATAATATTACTTCTAAGAAGTATTCGACTGGTAAGTTAAAAAATGAAAAAGATGGTACAATAAGCAGCAGGTAGTTAGTTTATTCACATTTCAGACAATTTTTATCTCAAGCAATTGAGATAATTTTATCATATTGTTATGCATATTGGTAGCTTTTAAATAGTATTTTAGAAAAATGAACATATATTAAGGTCTTGGTTTAAAAGTAACACATCCACAGGATTTTACAGAAAGTAATTGCATGGTCTATATTTTCATAATCACTTTTTTTCATTCTTAAAAAGGAATCTGAAAAGGATTTACTTTGCTAGAATGTTATAATCACTAAATTTGCATTTCAAACACTGCAGAATATCTTAAAAGTGTTTTTTGTGGTGCTTTTTGATTTAAACCACAGTTGAATTATGTCCCTTAGTACTCAATAATTTATGCTTCCAGTTAGCACATTTTCTTAGCCCTTTCACTAATGTTTTATTAGTAGCATAGTAGACATAATTTTTTTCTATGCCCATTAAACAATAACTCCAGGGGCCGGCGTGGTGGCTCATGCCTGTAATCCCAGCACTTGGGAGGCCAAGGCAGGTGGATCACCTGAGGTCAGGAGTTCGACATCAGCCTGGCCAACATGATGAAACCCTGTCTTTACCAAAAATACAAAAAATAAGCCAGGTGTGGTAGCAGGGTGTAATCCCAGCTACTTGGGGGGCTGAGGCAGGAGAATTGCTTGAACCCAGGAGGCAGGGAGGTTACAGTGAGCTGAGACTGTGTCACTGCACTACAGCCTGGGCAACAAGAACGAAACTGCATCTCAAAAAACAAAACGAACAAAAACCAATAATTCCAACTTCCCTTTCCCCTCATCCCCTGGCAACCATCATTCCATTTTTCATCTCTATGATTTTGACCACTCTAAGTACCTCATCTAAGCAGCATCATATCGTATTTGTCTTTTTGTGACTGCTTTTTTCACTTAGCCTGATATTACTAAGATTCATTCGTGTTGTAGCATATATCATAATTTTTGTCCTTTTTAAGACGGACAATATTCCATTGTAAGTGTATATCACATTTTGCTTCTCTGTTCATCTGTTGATGGACACTTGGGTTCCTTCCATGTTTTGGCTTGTTTCCATGTTTCCATGTTGTGAATAATGCTGCTATGAACATGCCTGTACAAATAAATCTTCAAGACCCTGCTTTCAGTTATTTTAGGTATATACCCAGAAGTGAATTACATAGAAATTGTATTTTTAATTTTTATTTTTTAGACGGAGTCTCACTCTGTCGCCCAGGCAGGAGTGAAGTGGGTGATCTCAGCTCACTGCAGCCTCCACCTCCCAGGTTCAAGTGATTCTCCTTCCTCAGCCTCCTGAGTAGCTGGGATTACAGGTGCCTGCCACCACACCTGGCTAATTGTTTTGTATTTTTAGTAGAGACAGGGTTTCACTGTGTTGGCCAGGCTGATTTTGAACTCTTGACCTCAAGTGATCCACCTGCCTTGGCCTCCCAAAGTGCTGGGATAACAGGTGTGAGACCCTGTGCCAGGCCTATTTCAAAGTTTTTTAGTAACTGCCATACTGTTTTTTGTAGCGGCTATTTTACATTAGCACTAACAACGCATAAGAGTTTGTTTCACCACATTCTTTTTTTTTTTTTTTGAGACGGAGTTTCGCTCTTGTTACCCAGGCTGGAGTGGAATGGCGCAATCTCGGCTCACCGCATTCTCTGCCTCCTGGGTTCAGGCAATTCTGCCTCAGCCTCCTGAGTAGCTGGGATTACAGGCCTGCGCCACCACACCCAGCTAATTTTTTTGTATTTTTAGTAGAGACGGGGTTTCACCATGTTGACCAGGATGGTCGCAATCTCTTGACCTCGTGATCCACCTGCCTCTGCCTCCCAAAGTTCTGGGATTACAGGCGTGAGCCACTGCGCTCGGCCTTCACCACATTCTTACCAACAATTATTATTTTCTGGTTTTTTGTTAGTAGCCATCCTAATGGGTTTGAGGTAGTATCTCATTGTGGTTTTGATTTGCATTTCTTTAATGATTAGTGATGTTGAGCATCTTTTCATGTGTTTATTGGCCTTTCATATGTATATTTTTGATAAATGTCTATTCAGCTCTTTTGCCCCTTTTTGAATGGGTTGTTTGGTTTTTTGTTCTTGAATTTTAGGAATTCTCTATATTCTGAATCCCTAATTAGATAAACGATTTGCAAATGTTTTCTCCTAACCATTCTGTATGTTGCCTTTTGTTTTTGTTTTAGAGACAAGGTCTCACTCTGTTGCCCAGGCTAGAGTGCACTGGTACGATCATGGCTCACTGCAGCCTCAATCTCTTGGCCTCAAGTGATCCTCCTGTCTCAGCTTCCTGTGTAGCTGGGATTAAAGGCACCTGCTACCCTGCCTGGCTAATTTTTAATTTTTCTGTAGCTATTGGTGGGGGGGGGGGGGGGGGGTCTCGCTATGCTGCCCAGGCTGGTCTTGAACTCGTGTCTTCAAGCAGTTCTCCCATCTCAGCCTTCCAAAGTGCTGGGATTACAGACATGAGCCACTGTGGCCTGTGTGTTTACTTTTTCTAACTCTGTTGATAGTGCTTATTGATGTGCGAGTTTTTAATTCTTAAGAAGTTCAATTCATCTATTTTTTTCCTTTTAATTTTTGTGGGTACATACTAGGTGTATACATTTATGGGGTATGTGAGATATTTTGATTCAGGCGTACAGTGCATAATAATCACATCAAGATAAATAGGGTATCCATCACCTTAAGCGTTTATTCTTTTTTCGTGTTACAAACAATCCAATTATGTTCTTTTAGCTATTTAAAAATGTATAATAAATAATTGTTGACAGTAGTCACCCTGTTGTGCTACCAAATATTAATTTTATTCATTCTATTTAATTATATTTTTGTACTCATTAACCAACCCCACTTCATGCTTATCCCCAGCTACCCTTCCCTGGTTCTGGCAACCAATATTCTACTCTCTGTCTCCATGAATTCAACTTTTGAATTTTTTAGTTCCCTCATATAAGTGACAACATACAAAGTTTTTTCTTTCTTGGCTTACTTAACATAATGACCTCCAGTTCCACCGATGGTGTGGCAAATGACAGTTCTATTTAAGGCTGAATAGCATTCCACCGTGTACATGTACCATATTTTCTTTTTTGAGACAAGGTCTCACTCTGTCACCCAGGTTGAGTGCAGTGGTGTGATCATGGCTCACTGCAGCCTCGATCTACCGGGCTCAAGTGATCCTCCCATGTCAGCCTCCTGAGTAGCTGGTACCACAGGTGTGAGCCGCCATGCCCAGCTAATTTTTGTACTTTTTGGAGAGACACGGTTTCTTCATGTTACTCAGGTTGATCGCCAGCTCCTGGGCTCAAGTGATCTGCCTGGCTTGGCCTCCCAAAGTACTTGGATTACAGACATGATCCACTGCACCCAGCCCATATTCCCATATTTTCTTTACCCATTCATCTGCTGATGGACACTTAGGTTTCTTCCAAATCATGGCTATTGTGAATAGTGCTGCAAAAAGCACAGGATTAAAGATATCTCTTTGATATACTGATTTCCTGTCTTTTGGTATATATCTAACAGTGGGATTGCTAGATCATATGGTAGTTCTATTTTTAGGTTTATTTTTGTTGTTGTTGTTTTAGATGGAGTTTCACTGTGTCACCCAGGCTGGAGTGCAGTGTCACGATCTTGGCTCACTGCAACCTCTGCCCAGGTTCGAGCAATTCTCCTGCCTCAGCCTCCTGAGTAGCTGGGATTACAGGTGCACGCTACCACACCCAGCTAATTTTTGTATTTTTAGTAGAGACGAGGTTTCACCATGTTGGTCAGGCTGGTCTCAAACTCCTGACCTTGTGATCCGTCCGCCTCAGCTTCCCACAATGCTGGGATTGCAATCGTGAGCCACTGTGCCCAGCCTATTTTTAGTTTTTTGAGGAACCTCCAAACTGTTCTTCATAAGGGTTATAATAATTTACATTTTCACCAACAATGTATAAGGGTTCCCTTTTCTCTTCATTCTTGCTAGCATTTGTTATCTCCTATCTTTTGGATAAAAGCCATTTTAATTGGGGTGAGATGATATTGGAATTTGGATTTGGATTTCTCTGATGATCAGTGATACTGAGCACATTTTCATATACCTGTTTGCCATTTGTATGTCTTTTTTTGAGAAATGCCTATTCAAATCTCTCAACCATTTTTAAATGGGATAATTAGATTTGTTTCCCTATAGAGTTGCTTGAGCTCTTTATATAAATTGGTTATTAATCCCCTGTCAAGTGGATAGTTTGCACATATTTTCTCCCATTCTGTGGGTTGTCTCTTCACTTTGGTGATTGTTTCCTTTGCTGTGCAGAAGTTTTTAACTTGATGTGATCCCATTTGTCTATTTTTGCTTTGGCTGCCTGTGCTTGTGGGATATTTTTCAAGAAATCTTTGCCCAGTCCAATGTCCTGGAGAGTCTCCCCAATGTTTTCTTGTAGTAGAGTCATAGTTTGAATTCTTAGATTTAAGTCTTTAATCCATTTTGAGTTTATTTTTATATATGATGAGAAAGAGCTTCATTTATTTGCTTATGGATATCCAGTATTCCCAGCATCATTTTTTGAAGAGACTGCCCTTTCTCCAATTTATGTTCTTGGCACCTTTGTTGAAAATGAATTCACTGTAGATGTATGGATTTGTTTCTGGGTTCTGTATTCTGTTCCATTGGTCTGTGTGTCTGTTTTTATGCTAGTACCATGCCGTTTTAGTTACTATATTATAATTTGAAGTGAAGTAATATGATTGTAATGTACAAAACTGGAACAAATATATTTCCATATATATAATTTGTGTTTATTATAATTTGAAGTGAAGTAATATGATTGTTCCAGTTTTGTACATTACACTCAGGATAGCTTTGGCTATTCTGGGTCTTTTGTGGCTCTGTATAAATTTGAGGATTGGTATATCTGTTTCTGTGAAGAATTTTGATAGGGATTGCATTAAGTCTGTAGATT